TCATGTTTCCAGTAGTATGTTGGGTTACTGTCGGGAAGAGCTTTTATCTATCTGGCCAAGAACTCGACTGAAGGTATCGCCTGTCTGTCTTTGCTGTTTGTCAAGTAACTTTTAGTTATATTTATGTGTGCTCTTATAAATTATATTGGCCCCTTTAATCTTTGGTTATACTTCGCTTTTGGGTGTTTGAGGAAATACCATTGGACCACATAAACTGATTTTTTTTCACTCTTGAGGTCGTTTGAGGATCTGTACAGCCAATTTTGAAAGAGATATACCCTAGCTCAGAAAAATGTTATTGAATAGGTTAATGCTGTTGTAATGAAATGCTTCTTTTAATTAAAAAAATAAATAAATAAATAAAAATCTTTTAAAATAACAAAAGAAAAGATAGAAATAGTGAACAGCATCTTCTCTTCTGAAAGAGGGGGTGTGGTATTCTTTCCTGTTTGTTTTTGAGACAGTCTTTTGTAATTCAGGCTGGCTTTGAATTTACTCTGTACCTGAGGCTGGTCTTAGACTCTTGATCCTCCTGCCTCCACCTCCCAAGTGCTAGGATTACCAGCGTGCTCCACCATGCCCAGCAAATACGCTGTTCTTACGTAGCAGGGAAGTGAAGTACTACAGCAGTAAAACACGCAGCTGGAGGTGCGTGTGCCTCAGTCTCATTCTGCACCTTCCCCTTCCCCTGAAGAAGTAACTTGCCTCTGGGCAAGCCAGAGTGCAACCTTCCGCCTGACCATTCCTCAGCTGTGACTGTACAACTGATGAATCTTTAGGCTTCTGTTTCCCATCTAAAAGAAAGACCTTAAGTGTATAAATTTGTCTACCCTGGTGAGCGAGCACCTGGCCATGACGTTTACAGGTTGTAAATGTGCCTCTCAAGAGACCAGCAGTTTCCTGGCCAATGGGCTGTGATAACCTCCTATCTCCACCAAGCTTGACAGCCATCTGCTAAACCAAACTGCTCTCCCAATCCCAACCCCCATGCTGGGAGTTGAACCTAGGGCCTTGTGCATGCTAGGCGAGCACTCTGAGAGCCGCTTTCTGGCCCCAGCTAGTGGAGGAAGGGGGGGTACACGAGGGAGGCAGACATGACTGCTGCAGGGGCAGCGCACCGGTTCAATCCGCTCATTCCTCAGTGCCCCCTGCTCCTGGGGAGGATGAAGGGAGGCCTTGTCTCTCCTTGGTGGGGTTTGCTAGAGTTCCCTGACATGTGTGCCCTGGGTAGTCTAGACCTAACAATCAAGACTCTTGCCTGGCACTCACACTCCAAACACGAGCAGGTGAGACAGGCTGAGCAAGGCATACCTCTTCAAGACCAAAGGTTCTCTACCTATGCAGCACAGCGGACACGCCAGGTCTTAAGAGTCACTGTGTCATCTTCCTTTTGAGCAGGACAGGAAGAGGTGACGGTTACATCTAAAGATCAGCAAAAAGTTAAGACCAGATCTGACCAGTTCGGGTCTTCACAGGCCATAACCGTTTTCTTCCCATCTTAACATGTAGACAGGTGTGCACTTAGACTCAGAACACACACAATGACTTCGCTCTTTACTCTTCTAGAACTAATCAGCTGGCCAAAAAAGGGTCCAGAAGAGCACAACAAAGGAGACACGGGAGAAATCCTCGTCAGTGCTTAAAGAACAGTCTGAACAGTCCGGTTACAATCTTACCTTTTATATCGCATAGATGGACGTATCAAGAAAAACACCCTCAACTGTATCAATACTGTAAATTCTGTGCTCAGAAAAGGCTGGAAGGCGGTCTGTACATTGAGATAAACTTTCACATAATCCAAACAGGAAATGCCTCAGTACCTTGTTGAGCTTGCCAAGAGATGAGATGAGATCCGCCCATTCACTGGAAGACTCAAAGTTTCTCAAAGCCTTTTCAATTCCGGAGGAGTATGTTCGGTACCTGTAGTCACTCAGCAGCTCCTGCTCTTCTGGGTCCATCTTACATTCTCACAGGAAGGAAGCGCTAGAAAAGAATCCGAATCACAGTGAGGGAGCTGGTCAAGGACAGAAAGCCTTCCCGACCCATAGCACTACTGAGGCCTGTGTCCACACACACACTGTGCACAGGCTCACTAGGCAATCCAGTTCAAATATTTAGCAAGGCTTCTGGGCCAGGCACTATGGTAAATAAGAGAGAGTCCCGCCCTCATGGATTCAGAGGGAGACAAGTGCGCTGGACAGTCGGAGGCAAGGATGCTCCTTCCTCTGACAAAATTCATGCTAGGAGTGAAACTTCCAAGACTACACCGGCTGCCTTAAGGGCATGCTTGTGACTGAACGGTCCATTTAGCAATTCAATCCTCTGCAACTAAAGTAGGAGACTGGAAATATTCTCCAAGAAAACCAGGCGGTGGTGGGGAGGGCAGTGTAGTGGCTGAAATGGTTCAGTGGGAAGAAGTGCTGGGCAGGCCTGGCAACCTGCGTTCGATCCACGGAACCCACGTAAAGAGGGACGAAGAACGAACACTGACCCCACAAAGTGGTACCCTGACCTCTACAGGTGCACCGCAGCACCCGTGCTGTCACACACACATATAAATAATAATACATTTTAAAAAAAGAAAATCTGATAGGAAAAATAAAGTAAGAAAAAATAAAGATATGGGTTAGAATATAGCTCAGTGGTAGAGTGCACGTCCAGGATTCAGGAGACCCTATGTTCCAGCCCGAGCACTGTAAAAAATAAACCAACAATGAAAAACAAAGAAAGTAAGAATACATTAGGTGAAGAGACAAAGAAACAAAGTGCTGCTACATGGATGACCCTTGAAAATAAAGCTTAGGCCAGGCAAGGTGAGCATACCTGTAATCAGAGCACTAGGTGAGGCTGGAAGATCAAGAGTTCAAGGCCATCCTCAGCTACACAGTGAGTTCAAGGCCAGCCTAACAGACAAGAGACGCTGGAGTTGGGATGGGTGCGCATAGGGACAGAGCCAGAGAGCCAGACCCAGAGAAACAGAGATAGAGACAGACAGAGCCAGAGAGCCAGGAGGAGGAGAGAACATGAGATGCTGTGTGGTGGCAGCAGAAAGAGAAGAAAATCTATGCTTAGAGGAAGAGGCCAGGCAAGCAATACCATATATTATACAGCTCCATTTATAGGAAATATCCAAAACGGGCAAGTCTCTTGTGATGGTGAGCAGGTCAGTGGTTGCCTAGGGTGGACAAGAAGCAGGCCGTGAACGGGATCTTTTTGAGGTCATTGAGATATGGTTATCATGCCCAACTCCGTAGGTTTACTGAAAAGCACTGAATTAGATACCTGAATGCATTTTACATCCTGTAAGTTGTACCTCAAATAACACTGATTTTTTCCCCCTTTGGTCTCTTTGAGACAGGGTCTCCCTGTAGCCCCCACTGACCTGGAACTCACTATGGTGACCAGGCTGCCCTCGAACTCACAGAGATCCACCTGCCTCTACCTCCCAAGTGCTGGGATCAAAGGTGTGCTCCACTAGGACCAGCTCAACACTGATTTTTTTTTTAAACCCAGGCTCTGAATTCCATCCACTCAGCATGCTCCTCCCTCAGTTTTCCCTTTGAAGAAAGTGGCCCCCGCTATGGGTGGGACGTTCTGTTGTTCTGGACTCTTCCTTCCCTTCACCTGCAACACTCAAGCCCAGGCTCCTTCTCAAACACTTGTGATTTGCTTGCCCTTTATCCCTCTGCACTGCTGTGCAAGGCCCTTGTCCCCTCCAAGTTCTCATTCCTGTCCAATGTTTTCATGGAGCACTCCAAGAACTGTCTGAAAACATAAGTCAAAACAAACCACCGCCATGTGTAAAGCTCTCCCTACTAATAAATCCAAACACCTCCCTTGCCAGTCTACAAGGCTCCACCTACTTCACACCTGTCAAGGCACAGAGCCTTTGCATATGCTGGGCCTTTCAGCAAAAATATACTGTACTATGCAAGTCGTCCACAAAATTCATCCCTAGGAAGGCCTGTAAGCTTTTTTTTTTTTTTTTTTTTTTCTGAAATAACAGGTTTTATGTCTTATGAAACATTAAGGAAAAGATGGTAATTGGGTAGTGGTTTTATTTAGCCAAGTCAAGTCTATGAAGTTGGTATGGCTGGGCTTTTTTTCTCCCTCTAGAAAATTTCCAGTCTGAAATCCAGCATAACTGCAGCCCTAAAATAGTCCATGTAGGGCTGTTTATTAAGTGTCCTGGCACTGGGGAAAGAAACTTGAATAGGATAGGGTTTCAAGAGAAAATACATATATAACTTCAACCTCATGGTGGGCTGAAGTAACAGAGTCTGGGCTGGGGACAGCTCAGACCCGAGTTCAATACCCACAACTCATGTGAAAAAGTCAAATGAGGGCTAGAAAGACGGCTCAATGGTTAAGCGCACTTGCTGCTTTTGCAGAGGACCCAGGTTCCAAGACCCACATGGCAGCTAACAACCATTTGCAACTGGAGTTCCAGATCTGATGTCCTCTTCCAGCCTCTAAGGGCATTGCACACACAGGTACACTTACATGCAGGCAAAATACCCATACATATAAAAAAACAAAAAAAGCCAAGTGGTGTTCACTTATAATCCTATTCCGGGGAGGAACAGACAGGTAGATCCCTGGTGCTGGATGACTGGTCAGCCAGGGTAACCTAATCACTGAACTCCAGGCTAAAGGATAGACTTTGCCTTAAAATAAAATGGTGTTCCTGAGAAATGACACCCAAAGTTGGCCTACACACACACACACACACACACACACACACACACACACACTCACACACACACAAAATGGCACGGTCTGATTCCGACAAGAACAGAGGAAGACCAGCTAGCAGCATAGAGTCCTCAAAGTCCACAGGTGTGGACTCCTGTTACCAGGAAGGGAGCTGCATCACTGATAAGCTGCGTGTTCGGGAGGTGGGGAATCAGGGTGCCCAGCTGCTCTTGGCAAGGAGGACCTCAGTCAGGTAGGAGCTGGTGCAGTTCAGCATTAGATCTGCTGCTGGAAGAAAGTGCTATTTGGTGTGCCTAAATAGTACAGGTGAGCAGCTTAAAAATTAGTCATTCAAGCAAACACCTTTATTTCAAAATACGGGGTGTTGTGTACTGTGATATTATACAGTCCCTGCGTCAGCCTGGCTCATCTATCATTTATGCATGCACTTATCTCACAAAACACAGGAGTCCCATGAGGGGTGTTACTGTCCCAAGATGAGAACACTGGGAAGCCAGTCTTTCATAAAACTGTTGGCCAGCAGTTGCTATAAGTAGGAGTCCAGGAGCTAGAGAGATGGCTCAGCAGTTAAGAGCACTATGTGCTCTTGCAGAAGACCTGGGTTTGATTCCCAGCACCCATATGGTGGCTAACAACCCTCCATAGTGCCAGTTCCAGGGGGATCTGACACCCTCTTCTGACCTCCACAGGCGCTGCACGACATGAGTGCACTTACACACGTATAAGCAATACACTCATACACATAACATAAAAATAAGTAGGATTCCATCCAGTTCAGCTCAGGGAAATACTGTTATGCAAGTGCCAAAATGACTAGGTCAGCCCTTACATAGGCCATTTGTAATGATGTTGCAGGCTATCCTGGACACCTTCCTGAAATTCAACAGTTCAGTAAACTGGTAACAAATAGGCTACCCACAATTACACACAAAGGAGCAGTCATGTGAACACGTGGGCCTGACTGGGATACGTTCACCTTAAAACAGAAAATGCCAGTGGGAACTCCCTCACCTTATCCATTCTTAATTTCTCAGCAAAACAAGCTCAAGTAGAAAACCATCTGCTAGACCCAGTGTGTTGTAAATACGCTTACACGCAGGAAGGAGTTGAACGCAGATGAAGACAGTACACACTGACCAGAAGCAGCTGCCCATTTACCCGTGGGTAACAACCCTGCGTCCCAGCACGTAACCCCCTCAGCTGGCCCACTTTTGAATGCTGTCTTTCAGAGTGACGATTTAATTGTACTATAAGACACCTCACAGGAACAGGCTGTTGAGAGTGGGGGGTGTCTTCCAACACCTTACCAAAACCCTGGAAAGGTTTCCCTGAGCCAGGAGCCGCTGTCACCAAGGGGTGAGTCTCGTCTGCTGCTGCAAATCCTGCAGGGTGCAGGACGAGGTGGACTGAAGGACGCGCACGGAGGCTCGGGTCCCGTCCAGGGCACAGGCTAGGAGGCGGGAGGAGCTGCAAGCGCAGAGCCCCGGAGCCTAAGCCTTTCGCCAATCTGACCAGGCGAACAAAGGAAGAGCTCCCAGAGCCAGGCGTGGGGCGGGGGTGACCCGCCTGACCTCCACCTGCCGGTCCGAGGCCCAGGTAGTGCCCGCTCATCCCCGGCCAGGCCGCCCCAGCCCGGGGCCCAGGAGGGAAGCCCACGCGCGGCCCTGGCCGCACTGCAGCAGCGCGCGCCGCGGTTTCCGGCCGCGCGGAGCCACCTGCAGCCCGGGCGGCCCCGCCGAACCCTCTGCATCTGGGGAGCGCGTCCGCGCCGCCGCACTGGTCCCAGGCCCGCGGGGAGGCGCCGCCCGGTGCCCCGGCTTCCCCGGCAGCCGAGGGCGGGATCGCCGTACGGGGCGGGCGAGACTTACCGGCGGCGGCGGCAGTGGCGGCCCTCAGCGGCGGGCGCGTGGCGGAACCGGTCGGGTCCGGAGACAGCGACCGAGCCAGTCGAGAACGCGGATAACGCGGAGGAAGCTCAGAGCTTAACCCCAACTGCCGGGGCTCTGGGGGCGAGGCGGCCTGGGGGCGGGGAGTTGGGCGTGGTCTAGGCACCTGGGGCGGGGTCTTGGAAGGTGGGTGGGGCCTCTGTGGGTCGGGGCCGGGCCGAACCCTCGGCGCGTGGGGGCGGAGCTTTGGCCTCTGATGGGTGGAACCTCTGTGGGGAAGGCCTGGCTGGGCCCTTGGCATGTTGGGGCGGGGTGAAGGGCGTGGCCTTGGCCTTGGGTGGGTGGGGCTCCTTGGGGCGGGGCCTCAACAAGCTGGGCTGCTCGCGGCCAGGTCTAAGCCCAGAAAGGAAGAGAGTCTTGTAGTGTTTCCCTGCTGCCCGCACAGATAGTGCCTCCTGGCTTCGCACAAACGAACTAGGTGGCGTCCGCCCCTCATTTGGACTTCCCAGACACAACCAGAGTATAGGGGACATCTGTCAGCGCCTGCCCAAAGTCGTCCACCCGTGCTACCGCCCTCCTCTGGTTTGCATCTGGACCACACCCAAACCCTCTAGCCTGGGGAGGAGGCAGAAATAATTCCTTCCAGGCTCCGGGCCCGGAAGGCTCAGGGACTCCGTTGAAGGCGCCTCTGGGCCCTCGATGGCAGCGGAGGTGAGTTCCTTACTGAATAAGGAAGAGGATTTTGCGTCACCTCTAGAAACATTAGTATTTCCAGACCACCTATCATGGCTTGACAGCTGCTTTGCAAGAAGTCCAGTGGGACTGGAAGCGAGCAGCGCTCACTCGAATTTTGACACTGTCTTAATGACCCCAGCTCCAGCAACCAAAACAGTGCCACCTGTTGATTAAGGTTGCATTTCAGTGGTGGCATCTGGAAGATCTAGTCTGGGGATCGCGAAGCCCTCGCAGTCCATGAAAGGGTTTAGAGGGGGCTGTTCGGGTCTTTTTGTTAGTTGTGCAGAACGCTCTGTGAATATATGTGTTTCTGGGGAAAAGGTGTTTAGTTTGTATCAAATTTCAAAGTGACTATATCTAGGCCAGCAAGATGGCTCAGTGGGTAAAGGGGACTGTTGCCAAGGCTGACTACCTGAGTTCGACCCCAGGTTCCCATAAAATAGGAGGCAAAAACTGACTCCTGCAAGTTGTCCTCTGACCTCCACATGCACACCATTACACGGGTGCACACATATACATAAACACACACACCATTACATGGTTGCACACATACACCTAAACACACACCATTACACGGGTGAACACGTACACATAAACACACACACCATTACACGGGTGCACACATACACATAAACACACACCATTACACGGGTGCACACATACACATAAACACACACACCATTACACGGGTGCACACATACACACAAACACACACACCATTACACAGGTGCACACGTACACATAAACACACACCATTACACGGGTGCACACATACACATAAACACACACACCATTACACGGGTGCACACATACACATAAACTCACACACCATTACACGGGTGCACACATACACATAAACTCACCATTACACGGGTGCACACATACACATAAACACACACCATTACACGGGTGCACACATACACATAAACACACACACCATTACACGGGTGCACACATACACATAAACACACACACACAAAGTGCTTAAAAATGGATTATACCTGTGATGATTTGTTTTAATGTAAACTTGCCACAAATTAAAATCACTAAGTAGGGAGCCTCACCTGAGGGATTCTACAATTGATGTACAAAGACCCATCGCAAATGTGGACACAACCTTCATGGCAGAAGGAAAGTTATTCACCTTTTGCTGGCTTGGCCTTCCCTCCTGTCTGGGAGGTGATTTGCTCTGTCTTGCTGTGGATGATTCTTCTGCTGACACCAGAGCCAGCATTTCCAGGCTTCCATCGTTGACTGAGGACCAGCGGCTCCCCGGGAACCCTCCAGAAGTTGTGTTAATGGTCTGGGATGCTTTTATTCCATCAATTTAGCAGTTACCAAGTGCCCCAGATGTAAATCCTCCAGAGATCAGTTTTCTGATTGGTCTTAGAATAGAAGAGGGGGAAAAGCAATGGGTTGAGCTGTGGGCAGCAGGGAAATTTTACTTTCAGGGAAATCCATCTTCTAATGAAGATTTGATAAACTCTGATCTTACAAAGATGACAAAATGTCAGAACATCAGTTGGCAAAACAAAACAAAAACAACCTTTCTTGAGGTTCTTCAAGGCTTAACTAATGCACTGCACTGAACAGAAAGAATTGCTTTAACTCAGTGAAAAGGAAGCCAACCCATTTGTGTCAAAGCTACCACATACAAATTTGTCGTAATACAGTTATATAAAATCATCTACATGTTTTGTATTTATATGCCACTCTGGGTAGACAAGCGTTAAAGGCTGCTCATTTCAAAGATTGTAAATTTTTTAAAGAGCAATTCTGTTTATAAACAAGATTGACAATAAATGAACAATATCAAGAACTGAACGGGGCCGGGGGGGGGGGATCTAGGAGCCCAGTTGAGGCTGAGGCAGGATGATCTCAAGTCTGATACCAACCTGAACTATATAATGAGACCCTGTCTCAAATAAAAACAAAATAAACAAACAAACAAAAAACTGGGCCAAAAGAGATGGAACTTGCCTAGCATGAGCAAAACCCCGGGTTCAATTCCTATTATGGCCACAAATAAATATTTTCCGAGGTCAGGTTGTATTGTCATCACACTTTAAAGTCTATTTCCCTACCTGTTTAAGATCTGCAAATACAGAAGTTTCTTTGCATGATGGGTCAAACTATTAGGGCACTTCTGAGATGTAAATCCTTTTGACTGCAAGCAACAATTACCCAATTCAACCTCGTTAATTAAGAGAAATGTCAAGCCCGTCAGGGTGTTGAGGCATATCCTAGAACCTGTGCTTTCAGGAACTGTTTGAGGCCGAGAAGGGCTGCTGTGGGAAGGGGGTTTGTCCTCAGGCCACTCTGTAAATGCTCCCTGGAAGGCTGTTCTTTCTTTCTCTGACTTGTGCCCTGGCTCCATCTGCTCGTCTGATCACCATGGTTGGGATGTGGCAACTCACAGTATCAGCCCTAATCCAGTTCTGTTGGTCCTGCTTTAGAGGAAGGACCTATGGTTAGAGCAGTCAACAGAGGCCAACAGGGCAGTTGCCTACATCTGTTGCAGCTCAAACGCAAAGAAACAGAGGAGATAGCACATTCAGCGAGGGCCTGTGGTATGTCAGCAGTTGACAACGGTCTTCTAAGTGAGCTACTCACTGCTCCAGATGTGAAGGTGGGATTGGCTGGTGACAAAAGAGGAAGAAGAAAGACAAGGGCCTCTGGCAATGGACTTGTCCACTTCCTGTCTGTGCTCAGGCCAAGGCTGCAATGCTCTGTGGTTCCTCAGTGTTCACCCACTAGCCGCAGAACACTGAGGCTGACTGTACGGGTGGGGTGGAGTGGGGGTGGGTGAAAGCTATTCAGAAACTTACTGAGATCATTTAAATGTAAGAGCTGCAGTCTGGCTGAGAGGATATTGGATTTAGTCCCTGACAGAAAAGCAGACTGAAAGGAAGTTGAATGCATTCTGGATGCATTAGCTGGAGGAAGAAATAAGGAGGGGTTGAGACAGTTAAACTGACACTGAGATGCTGGAACGTCAAGAAAAACAAACACCCAGATCATGGGCTATAACATCAATCACAGGGCCACCCTGTTCAGTCCTGCCCCCTTCCCCCCAGTAAATGAAACCTCAAGAAGATTTCTTATGGGAACACAGCATTGCCCTTTATTTCTGAAATGAGATATCAGGTGATAGTATGTGATGGTTGGGGTCATGATACTCAAGTCAACCTGGTGGCACAGGCCTGTAAACCCAGAGACTTGGGAGGCTGAGATGGATTCCAGACTCAAGGTCTGTGTGAGCTACAGAAGTCATCGAAGGCTAGCCTTGGCAACCTAGTGAGTACCTGTCTCAAAAATGAAAAGTGAAAAGTAAACTTGGATGTAGTCCAGTAGTAGAGTGCTTACCTGGCATGCAAAAAGTCCTAGGGACATTTCTTAGATCAATCAATTAATCGATTGATTGATAGATGTATCTATCATCTATCCATCCATCCATATCCACCTATCCATCTACCCACCCACCTATCCATCCATACATCTATCCATCCACCCATCCATCCATCCACCCATCCACCTATCCATCCACCCAGCCACCTACCCATCCACTCACCCACCCATCCGTCTACTCACCCACCCCCACCTATCCATCCACCCATCTACCACCCACTCATCCACCCATCTACCACCCATCCACCACCCATCCATCCATCCATCCATCCATCCATCCATCCATCCATCCAGAGCTGGTGCTTCTCTCTGAGAAGAGCTACCATAAATGTGATAACCTTTGGGGAAGTTGCAGTTTTCCCCTTTTGTTCTCTTATTTGGTGAGTCTTTCTTAAGTCTTGACTCTCTTATGAATTTGGCAAGAATTTTTCTTCCCTTTTATACCATCCTTTGGTCTCTAAGTCTTTTCCTAAGGGCATAACCAAACTCAGGCAATCTGGTTGCAAAACTAATTCCATATGAAAGCAGTGAGACTCACCTGTTGTCACAGACTATAAAAAAGGAGACTGGAGAGATGGCTCAGCAATTGTTCTTGCAGAAGACCTGGGTTCAAATCCCAGTACCCACATGGCACCTAACAACTGTGTATAATTTCAGTTACAGGGGATCTGATGCACTCGTCTGTCCTCCATGGGTACTGCATGACACAGGTGCACTTACACTTGCAGGCATAACACTTATACACATAAATAAAAGTAAATTAAAAAAAAAAAAGACTGTAAAAGCGACTCTAAAAGTCATCCAAATAAGCCACCCTGCCTTGAAGCTCAGAGATGTATGTGAACAGGTAAAGAAGACATCTGCATGTGTCCTAGTAGAGGGACCATCTAGAAAAAGTTCTCAAAACCACCAGGAGTGGTGGTACACACCTGTAATCCCTGCACTTGGCAGGTAGAGGCAGAAAGATCCATGAATTCCTGGCTAGCCTGGGTTACATAAGAGACACTGTCTCAAGAAATGAAACAAAGCAAAACAAAGTTTCTGAAGCCTGAGCAAAATGAGAAGGCGACCAGGGCAACCTCACAACTATTCTGGCAAAGAGTGCAGAATGTAAAACCCAAGTTAAAAACAGTATAAAGAAAATCACATCCCAACCACAAAGACCCTGCTCCTGAGTCCACCAGTCCCTACTGCTTAAGTAAAATGCATGGGAAGTCATTAATTTAGACTGAACTTCACACTGAGCCCAAAAGACCAAACCAAAATGGAGTTACTCATAAGCTTCCACACAACAGTGCCAAAAGTAATTTATGTGACCTAACCAAGAAGTCCAAAGAGGTGCTGGGGATGCAGTTTAGTTGATAGATTGCTAACCTAGCATGCACATTCCCCTGGGTACATTCCTTAGTACTACATAAACTTGGCATGGTGGTGGACACCTACAATCCTAGCACTTGGGAGCTGGAGACAGAGGGGTCAGAAGTTCAAGGTCATCCTCAGCCACATAGTGTAAGGCTAGGCTGGGTTACATAAGACCCTATCTCAAAATTAATTAATGGGGCTAGAGAGATAGGTCGGCAGGCAAGCATGCTTGCTGTTCTTGCAGAGAATTGGAGCCTGGTTCCCAGCATTTACATTGGGCTGCTCACAACCATCTGTAACTCCAGCTCCAGGGGATTCAACACTCTCTTCTGACTTCTGTTGATACCCACACACATGTGGCATACACACACACACACACACACACACACACATACCCATAAATAAAAATAAATCTTTAAAAAATAAACCAGGAGACGCCTTTAATCCCAGCACTTGGGAGGCAGAGGCAGGCGGATCTCTGTGAGTTCAAGGCCAGCCTGGTCTACATAGTGAGTTCCAGGCCAGCTGGGACTACAGGGAAACCCTGTCTCAAAAAGACAAAAAAAAAATAAAATAAAAATAAACCAGGAGAGAGATGATAGTCACATCCCCCAAACAACCCAGATAAAGCTGGTGTGAGGAAATTTTCTGTTTTAACCTTTCTGAGAAAGTTAACTTTGAAGATAGTTTTAAGAAAAAGAAACATAAATGGCCAACAACTATTTTTAAAAGTGTTCAGTGTCCCTAATCATCAAGGAAATGCAAATTAAAACTACTTTAGATACTACCTTACCCTAGTCAGAATGGCTGTCGTCAAGAAATCCAACAACCATCATTGGAGAGGATGTGGAGAAAGAGGAACCCTCATATACTGCTGTGGGAGTGCAAATTAGTACAGCCATTATGGAAATCAGTTTGGAGGTTCCTCAAAAAATTAAAAATAGAGCTACCATGTGGCCAAACTATCTCATTCTTGGGCATATACCCAGAGAACTCCTTACCTTACTATAGAGATATTTTCACAGTCATGTTTATTGCTGCTCTCTTCACTATAGCAGGGAAATGGAAGCAACCTAGTTGTTTATCAATAGATGGATAATTAAAATCTGGTTTTATATAAATGCATATATGTACATATACATATGACTATTATTCAGATCTAAATAATGATGAAATAAAAAATTTAGAGCAAAATGGATAGACCTAGAATGTATAATATTCTATAATTTAACAGGTCACCCAGTCACAGAAAGTAAAATACCATGTTTTCCCTGGTATGCACTTCCTGGCTTATAATGCATCTGCATACATAAACAAATGTATGTGTGGGTATAGTATAATATTTAGAATCAATCACAACAAAGGGTAATCTGTGAAAAATAGGAGTACAATTTTGTCTTTTTTTTCCATTCAACTTTCTGTGTATTGAAGTAACAGGAACCAGTTCTGCATTCCACGAGAGTCCAGGAAGTGTTGTCCCTTTGTGGCAGTGGCTATGAGAGTAGGGATTCCTTTTTCGATTCCATAGACCAATAGTGCAATGAGAGTTGGAGACGACTGGACAGTGATTTGTTGGATGTGCTGAATGAGATGATACCATTATTGTTCTTGGTAATTGATTTTTATTTTGCTATAACTTTTCTAATTTTCTTTTTGTTTTGCTTTGTTTTGATTTTTTGAGTCAGGTCTCCCTGTAGCCCCAGCTGGCCTGGAACTCACTATGTAGACCAGGCTGGCCTCTCTCTCACAGATATCCACCTGCCTCTGCCTCCTGAGTGCTGGGATTAAGGGTGTGTACCACCATGCCCAGCAACTTTTCTAATAGAACTTAAAGAAAAATAAAATAACTTTGAAATCGCCCACCTTTTCTCCCCCATTTCTTTTTTCCTCACTCTTTCCCAGCTACAAACTCACCTCTTTGTTCAGCTCATCAGGAGACATATTCTATTTTATAGGACGAGGAGTTACCTCATTCTGGAATTGCTAATAAAAGCCACTTACAATCTTTACATTTGTTTTAATTTTATATTTTGAGAGAACCAATAAAATATACTTAAATAAGTCAGGCATGATGACACATGCCTATAATCCTAGCAGTTCACAGGTGGAGGCAGGAGGATTGTCATTTGGAGGCTAGCCTGGGCTACATAGCAAGACCATGTCAAAACCAACAGACAATAATCTGCCCTCAAATGTAGCAAAGCAGAAGGAGATAGAAAGGAAGGTGCAGAGCTAAAGAAACAGGCTGACTCATCCTTATAAAATCAAACTAGAAATCTGAGGCAGCGAGAAGATGGTCAGATCCCATACCAAGACCAGTCATCCTAGGTGGTGCTCCAAGTACTCTCCCTTGGCTGGTAGCATCAGCATGACCTGGGGTGGGATTAGATTAGAAGATTTTGAGGCCCTGCCAAAGAAACTGGCTCAGCCCCTCTGGGGGTGGGAAGCAGCTTCTTCCTTAACCAGCTCCCCAGGAGACCACTGAATTTTTTTTTCTCTCTCTCAGGCTAAAGAGCTTGGGCACAGCAAGCTGGTGGCTCATGCCTGGAACTCCACCACTTGGGAGGCTAAGGCAGGGAGATTACAGTATGTTTGAGGCTAGCCTGGGCTACATGGTGAATTTGAGACAAGTCTGTGCTATACAGTAAGGCCCTGTCTCTAAAAAACAAAAAAGAGGGGTCGGAGAAGAGACCGGGCTCAGTGGTGAAGAGCACTGCTGCTCTTGCAGAGGATCAGAGTTCAGTTTCCAGTACTCACATGGTGGCTAACAACCTCTGGTAACTCCAGTTGCAGGGGATTTGATACCCTCTTCTGGCCTCCGTGGGCATTGCATGCATGTGTGTACTTACATACATGCAGGCAAAGAACTCACACACACCAAATAAAAATAAATTAAAAACAAACAAAACTTCCTAAAAAGAGTCTGGCAAAATCAGTCAGAATTAGATGGTGGAACCAGACAGATATAATGGACAGTCCTTTCCCAAAGTGGAAAGAGAATCAACAAACTACATCAGAATCCATTCATTCCTCCCCACGACATTTATTAAGCATTAAGCTCCAAAGCAGATATTCACCAGGCTTGCACGACTTTGTCACGGACTAGCTCGCCCTGAGGCTCAGTAGCATCTGGAGGCAGGAGGGCCAAATAGACAGGGGTTTCGGCTCCCTCCTCCACAGTCCTGGAACCATGCTCCCCAGCCATGTCCGTCTTCACCCATCCAGGGCAGCAGGCATTCAGCAGAATCCTGTCAGCTTTCCGCTTCTCGTCCAGCCGTCGGGCTAGGATTCTTGTTAAGACTGTCACCCCCAGCTTAGACACCCCGTAAGCCGAGTCAGGCCAGCCTTCCCTCTGATGGACCTCATTCCTTGTGTCTTCCACAAACTTTTTCATGAGGTCCACTAGGTCCCCCTCTGTGAGTGTGTCACATCGGAACCTTTCCTGAAGATCTTCACTGCAGTTTTCAAGAGCTTTTGAGCCCTGAAGACTGCTGATATTCACCACTCTCCCTGAAACACATCAAAAAGACCACTCAGTGGTTGACCACATTCAGTCAGTGAGTACATGACTGAATCACCATGCAGGGTTAATTGCCGATAAGAACAGAAGGCGGGACCAACAAGGTGGCTCAGTGTGTAAGGTCACTTGCTCCACACCTGATAACCTGAGTTTAATCTCCAGGACCCATATGGTGGAAGGAGAGAACTGACTCCCGCAAGTTGTCCTCTGACCTATACACACACACACACACACACACACACACACACACCCCATGGCCAGCCTCCTGAAAACTTGCCTTTCTCCAGTAATCAAGACAGAACACTCTCTGTGAATTTGAATCTCTTTTTTGCATGGAAGACCTGACCTAGTACTCAGGATTTGTGCAAATCCCTTATTTGCATAAAGGACAGAATTGGGAATTTGGGGCAGGAATTTTTCCTTTGTTGGCTACTTTTCCCTTTGTTTGGAGAGATACTACTAACCTTCCTCTGCTCCAAGCTGCATCTCCCATCTAGCAGATAGGCCTCAGCATGTGGAGGTCAGAGGACAACTTTTGGGAGCTGGTTCTGTCCTTCCACCATCTGGGTCAATGGGGATCAAACTCAGGTTGACAAGTACCTTTACCAGCTGAGCCATCTTGCTGGCCCTGATTTTGGTTTTTTGGAATAGATACCCCTTTTTTTTTTTTTTTTTTGAGTCAGGGTCTTCCTGTACTGTAGTCCTAGTTGGTTTAGAACTCACAGAGATCTGCCTGCCTCTGCCTCCCAAGTGCTGGGATTAAAGGCATGTGCCACACACAGCTGAACAGATGTCTTAATAGAAAAGCCTTGCTTATACAAACCCTTTGGGTCCAGACTCAGCAGACTCATTTCTGCCACTGCTGGACCCAAAACCTCATGTCAGGTGACAGATTCACCAGGCAGTTTTAAAAGATTCCCTCTTCCTTCAACACACACACTCCCCACCTGCTTCTATCCTGCTTTCTGAGGGACAGTACCCTTCTCCCTGAGAACCAAAGCTCTCAGGTCCCCAGGTTTGCAGCCATTTCTATCCCTGAGTCACAAGTACCTAAACCAGGATCAGGGGATACCTGGAATGACCAGTCCTTACACATGTGGGAGACGCATTCTCCACCCTGATTCTGATTTCATTCATTGCTAGTTCAAGCTAATAATAATAATTTGCTAATTAATAGGAATTAACATTCACATTGCCAAAAATTCACAGCTACAAAAGAGGAGGTTGCATATAACAGTTGTGTCCATAATATAATCCCAGGATTTGGGAGGCTGAGACAGGAGGACTACCATGAGTTCAAGGCCAGCCTGGGCTAAGTTCAATACAGAGCCAGGGGTCACGATGGTCAGCACTGGACCTTGAAGTGAACCTAAGTTCAGTGAAGTTCAGTTTTCTGTGCATCCTATAAAGCAGAGGTTCCCCTTTGAGAAGTGAGTTATAGACCTGATTAAAGATAATGCTTCACCCGATTCTCATGCCCTGGGTTAACCCCCAAGCCCTTCTCCTCAGACCCTTCCCTTCCCTTTCAAAATAGCTTGGTTCATGATCAATCATTTGGTGCTGTTAATTCTTTTTCTTATGATTTATTGTTCTTATTTTCTGTGTATGTTTTTGTGCTTGCATGAGTTTGTGTGCACCATGTACATGGAAGTGCTCAAAGAGGCCAGAAGAGGGCATTGGATCACCTGGAACTGGAGTTACAGGCAGTTGTGAGTCATTCATTGTGGGTACTGGGAACTGAATCCAGGTCTTCTGCAAGAGCATAAACTCCCTTAATCATCTCTCCAGCCCCTATTGCTGTAATTCTTACTTCACTAAAATGAAGTGTCCTGATTTGATCTGGTGGTGAAATCAAGAAACCTCAGACCATGTCCAGCTCAGTTACTACCCGCCTGTGCTCATTTCTGCAGGTCTTCAGTCCCTCTCTGTAAAGTGGAGGTGCAACAACAGGAGTTTAATTGATACTTTGTAGCCTTCAAATGCTATAATTCTAAAGTTCAGCCCAGAGACTTCCCAAGGTGGTGGTAAACAACATCTTTGCAATGCAACATGATGTAGACATCAGAAAGAATAGCAAGCAGGGATGGAGAGATGGTTCAGTGGTTAAGAGCACTGACTACTCTTGCAGAGGACCTGGGTTCGATTCCCAGCACCCACATGGTGGCTATGAACCGTTCTTAACTCTAGTTCCAGGGGAATCCGAAGCCCAACATGGGTGCACTCACATACATGCAGGCAATACACTCATACACATAAAATAAAAATAATAAATAAAACAATAAAAAACACTCATGCAAACAAAATAAAAAATAAAGATTTTTTTTTTTTTTAAATGAAAGAATAGCTAGAGCCAGGTGGTGGTACACACCTTAAAGCTCTGCTCTCAGGGGCAGAGTCAGGCAGATCTTTGTGAGATCAAGGCCAGTGTGATCTAAACAGTGAGACTTTGTATCAAAAGGATAAAAAAGAAGGGAGGGGGAAGCAAACAAAATGCAAGGTGATAAATACTGTGCTAAATTTTACCTTTTCATGTGAAAAAAATTTAACATGTCTTTATATTTGCTTAAAATCTCATTTATAACCCCTATCCCCTTGACCAGTTCCATGTACCCAGACAAAAGGCTTCCTTCAAGCACACCTATAGATTGTTTTTGGTTTTATTTCATTTTATTATTTTAGAGAGGACCTCATGTTATAGCCCAAGCTAATCTGGGCTCACTATGTGGCCCAGGTTGGCTTTAAATTCTCTTTGATTCTCTTCCTTCAGCCTTCCAAGTGCTGGGACTACAGGTGTGAGCCACCACCACCACCACCACCACCACCACACACACACACACCCCAAAACCCAAAAACAAAAAAACCCACTCCAAAACAAAAACAGAAAACCCCAAACCAAACAAACAAAAATCCAAACCAACACAAACAGAACAAAGTAAAATCTTGCATCTAGAGTTAATCCTTACTGAAAACATTAAATTAAGAAAATTACATTCTTGGTGCTCAGCATTTATGAGCACTGGCTGCTCTTGCAGAGGACCCAGGTTTGGTTCCCAACACCCACATAGCCATTAACAACCACCCGTAACTCCAGTACCAGGGAAACCAACACCCTCTTTTGGCCTCTGTAGGCATTGCATAACATGGGTGCACTTACATACATGTAGGCAAACCACTCATATGCATAAAATAAAAAAATAAAAGAGCACTGGCTGCTTTTGCAGAGGACCTAGGTTCAGTTCCCTGTACCTATACAGTGGCTCACAACCTGCTATACTCCAGTTCCAGAGATCTGACGCCCTCTTCTGGCCTCCACAGGCGTTGCACAAATGGGTGCATTTACATATAAGCAGGCAAAACACTCATACACATAAAAATAAAGTAAGATAAATGATAAGAACCACAGAGTTCTTCCTGGGAATCTCCCTCTCCCAGCACAGCTTGTTGTTTTACATTTCTGATTCTTTGTTAATTTATGTCTGTCACCCCCACTCAACTTCAGCTCCATGGATAAGATGATCCCCTTGTATATGATGATCCCAATTACATCCCCAGCATCTAGCATAATGGTAGGCACTCAATAAATATTAGTGGAAAAGCACTAACATAAGTATTGAATACACATGGGCCAGGGACAAGGTATGTCTTAACAAAAAAATGTTTCTTTTGGGTTTTCTGAGTCAGTCTGCAAAGTTTGGCATAAGAAGATGGGGATAGGGGATGGAGAGATGGCTCAGCTGTTAAGAGCACTGACTGTTCTTGCAGAGGACCTGGGTTCAATTCCCAGCACCCCCATGGTGGCTAACAACCATCTGTAACCTCAGTTCGGGGGGAACCCGATGCCTTCTTCTGACCTCTGTGGGCCTTGCACAACGACATGGACCCTTACACACATGAAGGCAATACACTCATACACATAAAATAAAAATAATAAATATTAAAAAAAAAAGAGAGAAGGGGAATGGAAGAAATGCTAGAACAGAAACTGTCCCTCCGATCACCCAGACAAGCCAGGGGTGGGCCCGTCCTTGGAAGGCCACTGCCATCCATCACAGGCCTTTGGGGACTATATCATCCTGCTCATGACACGGAATCCCCAAAACACTGTGTTCTGTCCTACAACTCTTTGACAGCCACAGCTAAAATGCTCAATCGGGGAGCCAGAAACTATGGGGAAAAGAGCAGTTTTCTACTTCCCACCCCTATAAAGAAATCGCAGCCCGGGTGATTCCTACAGGTGGTCCTATCTAGGGGATACCAGATGGTCCTACACTGGACTTACCATGTGGTTTCATAATGGGCAGTAGCTCAGTGCAGACATTTCTAGTAGCAAAAAAGTTTGTCTTTAGTGTCATCTCAGCTTGAATGTCGAAGGGTGTTGAGTCATCCACTTTGGAAAGGATAAAAAAAAAAAAAAAGAAAAGAGAAAGTCATGTTTCCCTTTGAAACTCACAGGAGAAGGTAAATCCTGTAACAATGAATTAAAGGACAAACAAGCTAGCTTTAAAACAATCAGGCAGGGCCTGGTGGAGCACACCTGTAATTCCAGCCCTTGGAGGTGGAGCTAGGTGGACCAGGAGTTCAAGGCCAGACTTGGCTACATAGCAGGTTTGAGGCTAGCATGCATGAGTCTCTCTCTCTCTCTCTCTCTCTCTCTCTCTCTCTCTCTCTCTCTCCTAAAATGAGGAGTTGGTGGTTCTCAAACTTGTTTGCATTGGAAGAGGGTTTTCTGTGCCACACCGTTTGTCTTCCAGCTACTGGTTTATGGTAAGCCGTACACACAGTGAGAGCCCGTGGATTGATCAGCAAGCCTTAAACTTAAATAGGCACAGGAGGGCCCTGGGGACTGTGTGAAGCTGCAGGCTCTGATGGGGTGGGTGTGAGGCTTGAGCTTTTGTGTGGACAGCCGGGGCTCAGGTCTGCATGCCCCCCATCTACCCTGAGTTGTGTGGACAGCCAGGGCTCAGGCTTGGGTGCCCACCACCCACACTTTGAGAAGCCAGGCCGTCCACAGCCATACCTCCTCCACCTGGAATCCCGGAAGCTGGTTTTCACCAAGTCCTCCATCAGTGGCTGAGGGCTGCTCCAGGGGATGAACACTCCTCCACCCTCCTCCCCAAAGCCCACCGGCTGAGTGGTGCAGGTGGGAGGGCGCTTTGGGTCTCGAGCAAAGCAAGTGTGGACGCCAGGGCTAGCCGGATAGACTGCTGCTCCACAATCGTTTCCTTTCCCTGTCAGTCTCGGGTTTGTTTTTCCTCCTGCGTTGTGAGGCCCGCCTGTTTGTTTCTTTCTGTTCCCAGTACATGGCAACCGGATAATTTTCCTAATTGAGTAGTTAGGATAAGTAATCTTGATTTTTTTTCCCTAAAGGAAGATGCTTCTCAAAACCAGATTTACAAGTTTGATAACAAACATTCGCTCCTTGGAGAAGGGAACCAGGGCTCACTTCCCTTTTTTTTTTTTTTTTCCCTTTTGCCAGAGCCCGTTAAAGCTCTCCATTAAATGCCGTAAGAAATCCAGTAACGTACAAAAGCGCGCTAATTGTGTCTGAGCGACCCATTTCCTGTCCCGAGCGAGCAGATGTCTCCTGGCATCTATGAATGTGCCCTTGTTTCATGGAAAGCGAAAGCTCCAAATGCTCTTGGAAGACCCTTCACTGTGCAAACGCTCGGAGTGTGGGACAGAAAGCTGATGAGCTTAGCAAGGCGTGGTCCCCTCCCAGGAGACCGGTTCTTTTGCAAACATCCACAGCTGAAAGTTACAAGGACAGCTTTAGGGAGCGCACAGGCCCGCACAGGCCGGCCAGCCGGCGGGGCAGGCGGGGAACCAGGGTCGGGGAGCCTGGGTCGGGGAGTCACCGAAAGCCAGAACCTGCCTTGCCAGGCAGGAGCTGGGCGCATCCGGACAGGATGGCGCCGCGCTCTCGGATCGCCCATGCGGGACTGCCGGGCGCGCTCGGCTAGCTGTCCCTCACCCTCGGGGCACCTCGGGCATCTCCTCCGGGAGCCCCGCACCTACTTTTAAAGGCGATGCCCGCGTTGTTGACCAGCACGTTGAGCCCCCCGTACTCCTTGCGCAGGAAGTCGCGCAGGGCGCGGATGCTCTGCAGGTCGTCGATGTCCAGCTGGTGGAAGCGCGGGCTCAGACCCTCCGCCTGCAGCTGCTGCACCGCGGCCCGGCCTCGCGCCTCGTCGCGGGCCGTGAGCACCACGTCCCCGGAGAACTTCCGACACAGGTCACGCGTGATCGCGAAGCCGATGCCCTTGTTGCCTCCGGTCACCAGCGCCACGCGGCTGCAGGACGTCATGGCCGGGTGGACAGCGCGCGCCACCAGCTCGGGGGCCGACCGGGCCACGCGGGGTGCGCGCTGCGGAGTCTGGCGGTCAGAGACGGTGCAGAGCCAAGTTCTGGGACCCAGTGCTATGGCAGGAGGAGCGCAAGGCCCTGGGCCTCGGTCCCTCCCCTGCGAGGAGGGGCTCTGTGTTCCCGAAGGGTTCGCACCGCCCCGACTCGGGGTCCGCCTCCTCGGGGAGCTGCTGGGGATCTGGTCCAGGCTGAGCTGAGCGCGGGTCCGGGAGCTGCGCGGTCCCCACAGCAACGCCCGGCGCACCGTGCAGGGGTCAGCCGGGTGCAGTTGGATTGAAGCAACTATTTTGGGAAAACCAAAAAAGAGAAAAATAAAATGCTGAGTAATTTTCTTGGGCTTGATCCCGTCGTTCGCTGCAAAATGCAGATTTGGCTTTTGTGAGAGGACTTAACACGGTAACTGCTGCGGTAGACACCGAGTACCCCGCTGCAGGCTTAGCAGAGAATTATAAAGATCCCTGGAGTAGATTTAACAGGTGTGGGCGGGCTACACCCGCCTGAAGGTCCCAGTGCGCCCTCACGTGGGCGAGAAAGCTCATGTTGGACAGGACAGTTTCTATATGATCCTACAGGTTAACCTATAGGTGCAAGCTGTGCCTGCCTTTGACCTTCTCCGAGGTGTGTACACACCTATCTAGAAGTGTCTAGGTCGACAGGAATCCTCTCCCAGGGACTCAGGCGAACCCACGAAGAAAATTCCAGGCATGTCTAAATGTGGGCATGCAATTAGAACGCCTCCCACCTTTTGTGTAATTCCAGCCTGTTTGATCTGAGTGCTTGGCTGGTGATCCTGAGGTCTGAGAACAACTATGCTGTCTTGGTGATTCAGCGTTTCCCCAGCAGAGCTGGTTAAACTGCCCCTGCCTTTGTTCCCCTGACCTCACCTTCTCTTTCAAAGGATCCTGGAGGTCAGGAAGGTGAGCTCAGGGATGGTCTAGTGTGCCTGTGATGGTTAATATTGTTTACTTGAGAGGATCTAGAATCACCCAGGGGATAAACCTCTGAGTGGGTCTGTGAGGGAGTTTCTAGATTAAGTTGATTGAGGTGGGAAGATCCACCCTCAACTTGTGCAGCTCTGTTCCATGGACTGGGGTGCTGGGTTGAATAAAAAGGAGAAAATGAGCTGAGCAGGGGCTGGGGAGATGGCTCAGTGGGTAAAGCTCATGAGGATTGGAGTTTAAATTCTTCAGATCAGCAGAAATGTGGGGCAGGTGGCCAGCCTGTAATCCCAGCCCTGGGGAGTTGAAGCAAGCTGGGTAGCTATACTATCCAAACTGGTTCTGGGTTCAAATGAGACACTTTGTCTCAATATATAAGGTAGAGATGGACAGAGAAAAACACCTGATGTTAACCTCTGGCCTCAGCACACACAGGAACACATACATGTCATACATGTTGAAAAAGAGAGCTGAGCACCAGCACCATCTCTCTCTGTTTCCTGACTACAGAAAGTGACCAGCTGACTTACACTCCTGCCACCACGATTCCCATCATGATGGGCTGGACCCTTGAACTCTGAGACAAAATAAACCCTTCCTTTAGTTGCTTTCTTCAGATATTTTGTCAGACAACAAAGAAAGTAACCCCAGTGGGGAAGTGGAAGTTAGCTCAGTGTCACAGAAAAAAATTAATTGGAACCCTATTTTAAGCATATAGTGTTGGGGCCATTGAGATGGCTGGATTGTGAATGTTCTGTTCCTCGGATAACAGGACTTTCAGAGGAGAATCCCCAACATATCAGGTTGTTGGTTAAGGCTTGGTTCTTATGCTAATGATTTATGTAATACAAAGGGGCCTGGTGAGATGGCTCAGTGGGGAAAGACACTTGTTACTAATCCTGATGATCTGAGTTTGATCTCCAGGAAACACATGGTGGGAGGGGTGAACTGACTCCCTCGAGTTGTCCTTTGACCCTTTCCCCACAAAATAAAAATGCAGTAGAATTTTCTTAAAAAAGATACAGTGCTATTGAGGTTTTCTTTTTTTTTTTCCCCCTCCCTCCCTTCCTTCCTTCAAGACAGAGTCTTATATTATAGCCCATGCTGGCTTTGAATTTGGCCAAGGATGACCTTAATCTCTTGATCCTCCTGCCTCACCTTGGCCTGGAATTATAAGTACACACCATGTCCATTTCTTTTTGCATGAGTTTTTTTCTAGTGGCATGATGATGGTTGTCTTTTAAAAAAGATTTTATTTTATTTTTTATGTATATGTGTGTGTGTTGTATGGGTATGTGCACTTGAATGCAGGTGTACATGGAGGCCAGTAGAGGGTGTTGGATCTCCTGGAGCTGGAGTTATGGGCTTTGTGAGCTACCTGATAAGGGTACTGGGGATCAATCTCAGTACCTCTGCAAGAGCAGCATGTGCTCTTAACCGTGGAGTCGCCTCTCCAGCCCCAACATTGGTTTTTTGGTTTGGTTTGGTTTTAAGGCAGGGTCTTTTAAGGCAATTGCTAGGTTGGTCTTGAACTCTTGGACTGTAGCAAACCTCCCACCTCAGCCTCAGGAGGAACTGGGCCCACAGGCACATACACTGTCTGGATTTTCATGTCTGTCTCCTTATATATATGGCTAAAGATTTAAGCACTTTTTATTTTTTTTAAGACAGGGTCTTACTATGTAGCCCTGGCTGGCCTGGAACTCACTATGTAGACCAGGCTGACCTCAAGCTCACAGAGATCCACCTGCCTCTGCCTCCCGAGTGCCGGGAGCCTGGCATTGATTGTAAAAAAGAAAGTTTCTCAAAGAACCAACTTTTGCTTTCCTTGATCTTTTTCCCTCCATCTCCCCCTGATTATTTAAACTTCATTTCTGATCTCTATTTCCTTCCTTCCACTCACTTTGAGTTTTATGTGCTCCTTAGTCTCTTGCAATGGAAGCTGAGGTCACTGAATTGAGACATTTCCTCTTTTCCAGTCCAGGAATTGCAATCTACACATTTCCCTAATGTGCTACTTGGCGGCATCCCCCCAGTATTGCTATGTCTTTTATTTTTTGGTGCTGGAGATGGAGCCTAAAGCCTGTGAGGACTGGGCGAGTGCCTGGCCACTGAGCTGTGCCACCGGCCCCTTCTAATTTGTCTTCTGATACCTTTGTTTACCAATGTTATTTAGAAAAAAAAGTTAATTCCAACTCTTTTAGGATTTTCCAGCAATCTGGATGCTGTTGCTCTCTAACAATTCTATTGTGACCAAAGACTATACTTCAGGATTCTTTTAAAAAAATTATTTATTTATTATTTTTATTTTATGCATATGCGTGTATTGCCTGCGTGTAGGTAAGTGCACCTGTGTCGTGCAATGCCCGAGGAGGTCAGAAGAGGCTGTCGGATCCCCTGGAACTGGAGTTATATACAGTTGTTAGCTGCCATGTGGGTGCTGGGATTTGAACCTGGGTCTTCTGCAGGAACAGTCAGTGTTCTTAATCTCTGAGCCATCTCTCCAGCCCCCAGGATACTTTTTAAAGAGTTTAAAACCTACTGGGACATGGTAACACATACTCTGTAGACACTTGGAGGAGGCTGAGGCAGGAGGTGGCTTAAGATCAGGAGTTCAAGACCAGCCCAGGCAATGTAGCAAGATTTTCTCTTTTCCTCTCCTCTTCTTCCTCCTCCCTCCCTTCCTCTTTCTCCTCCCTTCCTCCTCCTCTTCCTCCTTCCTTCCTTCTCCTCTTCCTCCCTTCCTCCTCCTCTTCCTCTTCCTCCTTCCTTCTCCTCTTCCTCCCTTCCTCCTCCTCTTCCTCCTCCTCTTCTTCCTTCCTTCTCCTCTTCCTCCCTTCCTCCTCCACTTCCTCCTCCTCTTCCTCCTTCCTTCCTCCTCCTCTTCCTCCCTTCCTCCTCCTCTTCCTCCCTTCCTCCTCCTCTTTCTCCTTCCTTCCTTCTCCTCTTCCTCTTTCCTTTCTTCTCCTCTTCCTCCCTTCCTCCTCCTCTTCCTCCTCCTCCTCCTCCTTTCCTTCTCTTTCTCCTCCTCCTCTTCCTCCTCCCTCCCTTCCTCTTCCTCCTCCTCTTCCTCCTTCTCTTCCTCCTCCCTTCCTTCTCTTTCTCCTCCTCCTCTTTCTCCTTTTCTGCCCCCCCCCACCTGTTTTCTCCCTTGTTATATACACTCCAAGCTGCTGGACTAGTGATCCTCCTGCCTTAGCCTCCCAAGTGCTGAGCATACGAGTCTGTGCCATAGTGCTTGGCAAAACCCATCTCTTTAAAAAGTTTCAAAAGTTGAGAGATACTAAAGCATGCTTTATGTAATGATAATTGTCTCTGAGAAAGGTAAAAATTAGTGGAAAGACAGAATAATTGCGAGAACCGAATGTGTGGGAAGGTGAAGGTGAAGCTGTTGGAAGCAGCTCCCAGGCAGGGCACCTCCCCTGAGTAACAGGAGGGAAGGCAGAGCGAGCGTGTGGGTCTGATTCAAGCATGTTGGAGAAGCTGAGGCCTGGGGACCTCTGTTAACTCTTGGAGAGTGCAATATTTGAGATGGTTACTGAAAAATATTGATTTGGGAGATTTAAGAACAGGCTAGCCATTTTGCAGACTGAATTTATTAGGGAAACAGACTACCCGAACCAGAGACCCATTTGGGATCTATGGTCATGAGTGTCAATAGGGTCAGCCTTCCAGCCACACCTCAGCATCCGGCTCCTAGTGCAGGCTGGGGCGCAGTGGAAGTTTGGGGGTTCACAAAACAGAGCTCCCACTGTTGTTTGCAAGGAAAGGATTAGAGTGAAGGATGATGGTGACTAGGGACAGAAGAAAAGAGGTGACGGGGCTGGGCTTAGTGAAGAGTGAGGGCAGGAGGCCAGATACAAAAGATGTCTTTGAGAGCTATGGACTCTGGGGAGGCAAGCAGGGTCCTAGGGTCAGCAGGGGCACTGTCTTCATTTATTTTCTGTTGCAATAAAACAAACAAACAAACAAACAAACAAACAACAACAACAACAAAACCCTGAGTCTGCATGATACATAAAAAGGAGAGTTATTTAGTTTATAGGCTGTTTCTTTTGTTTGTTTTGTTTTTTGTCTTTTTGAGAAAGGGTCTCCCTGGCCTAGAACTCACTATGTAGACCAGGCTAACCTTGAACTCAGAGATCCACCTGCCTCTGCCTCCCGAGTGCTGGGATTAAAGGCGTGCACCACCTTGCCTGGCTTCACAGGTTTTTTTCTTTTTTAAATATTTTATTTATTATTTTTATTTTATGTGTATGAGTGTATTGCCTGCATGTGTGTGAGTGCACCCGTATCATGCAATGCCGAGGAGGCCAGAAGAGGGC